GTAAGCACAGTGAGTACACTACCGTAAGCAAAAATCCTAGAATTGTGAATTCTGATGGCGCACCATGTACCTACCGTATCCAAGCGGGCAGTTCTTTATATCAGAAAGTGCGTTTCGCCGAGATGAGTCGAACGGTGCCCTTGAATTCAGAATTCGTCCATTTTTAACAAAGATACAGTGATGCGACGCGGATTTCAGTGAACTCCAGTGAAGTTTGGTGACTATTTTGATTAATTATGAGCGATATCGTACACATTTGTGAAATTATTTTGACCACCTAATGAGCTATTTCTGCGTTTAGGCTCATCGTGTCCAAGAGACTAATCGTATCGCTTCTATCGCTGAGCGACCGAGAGCTTCGGTTGAACCGTTCCAAGTGAATGCTTCAGTGAGAAGTGTTGCTGAAGCTGAGAAAGATGCTAAGGACGAGAAATGCACTGTAATCGACGTCTCATTGGACAGGTACATAATTTCTGATGGTCGATCGAGCACTGAGAGTAGGAAATTGGTTCTTTTGGTCAAGAACGATAGCTGACGAACTGGATCGCCATACCACAAATCATTTGAGAGAGTAGCATCACCTAACCTTGACGCATGCGCCGTGAAGTGATCTGTAACATTGCTATGACGAATGAACCTAAAGTTCGCATTCTATTGATGTAAACTTCTTCTCTATGGAATGTGGCACAGTACCTTAAAGTCACCACCCACTCTATTGAACTTAATGAGATTTTACCGTATACAGGTGGGGCCTCTAAGGTAAAGACCAATCCCTCTCAAGAAGCGACAAATTTGTTCAAGAAGGTAGAAATGGCGATGGTCCGTCAACGTGGGCGGTCTGAAGATACAGTTCTACTTGGGCTTCAATGTATCCAAAATTGTCAAAATTTCGACCTTCATCATGATTATCACATATTCAACAATTCTGGACACGTTCGAGTCCATTTTTGGAGTGTATCCCTAGACTTTGATTGCCGGAACGACCAACACCGCTTCTAGCTTCTGCAGCGATTTTCTTGCTTCAGAATTCATCTTTTGTTATGGGACTTGGGCGTTCACCTACCTACAAGGAAATGGTCAAAAATCGAAGTGGCCAAACCAGACAAGCTGCATACCTTAGATGCAGCATAAAACGCTGACCCTAAATCTGTATTTCCTATCTGCTTTCGCCTTTCTGAACG